GCGGGGGTTTGGTCTTCGAGCTGCTGTCCCTCGGTTAGATCAGCTTTGAGCGGCAGCCTGCTGCCTGCCAGTAACCCCTCCCTCATTTACTGTTCAGAAAAAAACCAACAAATTGTGATAATCCACCACAGCCCTTGGTAAATTGTTTAAGGAATTGGTCGCCCTTGCTGCTAAGAAATCGGGGTGTCGCCTTTCGCGTGGTGGTCAGCGTGTTTTCAAGGGGTGACGGTCTTTTCCCCTTTAAAACTGTGCTTTATTCTAGAGAGCAGGGATTTTCCCTTTGCTGAAGCAAGCGCCTTGTATTTGAGCTTTACCCTAGAAAGGACGCTTTTCCAGACCTTCAGGTAATCCCGTGGTCTGTTCTTCAGCCGTTTACATTTTTATCAGCATCCTTCTTCACTTTCAGCTCCGCGCAGTCAGAGCTGTTTCTGTCAAGGGTGCTCTAACGCCAAATACAGGCACGGTATAACCTTTCTGGCCGATTATGGTTCAATAAATAGATGCAGCCAAGGACTGCCTCAGCCCTTTCCACTGTGATATTGCACTGAGAGCTCATGATCAGCTCGTTACTGGCCATGCTTGTAAAAGCCTCCCAAATTAAAATCCACTGTCATGTTGATGTGATAGTTATCATCAATTTAAATGTGAATTTGTTTGTGAAATACATCCTGTGCCTCCAAAAGAAGCTGGGCTTTTTGACCTGTAGTGTGCAAGATAATGAATAAGGGTCGCTTGTCCTCTTTTGGGGCAGGAGAAGAGAGAGATGCTGCGTAATAGCTTTAGGTGATGGTGTGTGTAGTGAAGAAATGATAGTACCTGAGTGAAATTATTCTGTAACTTTTAAAAAAACTTAGCAAGTTTATATGCTGGAATCTGTGTTACCAATTAATGTGATTTATGAAGTACTGAAGTAAATGTCGTTCTTTCCCACGGTATAAAGATTCATCTTCTTGCTTGTAACGTCTATCTTCATAACTGTAGATAACTAATGTTGTCTCTTGCAGCATGCTACATGGAAAATCCAAATTACAGTCAATTATAGTCAATATTGAAATGAAATCCAGTAAATTTGGAATAAACCGGCAAAAGTAAGCCAAATGTTTACTGGTTTTCTTAATTTGTGTGTGGATGAAAATGAGAAGAAAGGAGCAAAAGCAGATCTCTGCTTAGGCAAAGGTGCTCAGCTCCATCATAGACAGGACCTGGAATTTGTCTTGAGAATAAAAGGGAGCTGGTGTTTTCTTCCCAGCTGTGCTACTTTTTTGTTCTTCCTGAAGTAGAATACTTTACCCCCAGGCTATGGGAAAAGGAAGGATAAGGCACTTAGGGGTTTTTCACTGCACCTGTATGTGATTTTCTCCTCACAGTGGCTTGTGTGCTCGCAAGAGACAAACACATGGGCATCCAGTTAGGCAAAAGTAGAATATTATGCTCAACAATCTGTTTAGGTAGTATTGTCCCCATGAGACTCCCTCTGTGTTAGTAGTCAGTTTGCTTTTGCTCAAGTTTTCAATTTATGGCTTTTTTTTCCTCATGTTTAACAGCTTTCTCTTTTGGTTTTAGTGGGTAGGAGCTAAGCAGCATGAGTTGCAGGTAAACTCTATGCAGTTGCTGTACTATCAGGCACCAATGTCCTTGGCTATGTTGTTGTTCATCATACCCTTCTTTGAGCCAGTCTTTGGAGAAGGGGGAATATTCGGGCCTTGGACGCTTTCTGCTGTGGTAAGACTTTTATTGACTCTATTTGAATAGTTAAATTTGATAGTAAGATCTGTTTCTTTGTGAAACAGATTTTTGTACAGTCATGATTGTGATGAGATGAGAGGGGCATGTGCAAGAGGAAAAAAAAAAACCCTTGTTATGTCTGCCCCACTTCCTCCTAGAGGAGCCTGTCTGTCAATTGATTTACCTCCTTATTTTTGTTTCTGTTTAGAGGGCATCTGAACAACAGGGAAATCTGACAAAATCCAGAGGCTTCCCCTAGTGTATTAAATTTAAAATATGTAAGTGCCCTAGTTCCTAGCTCTTACTGTCCACTCAGAAAAGAGATAAGCATGCTCACTTTTGATGCTCTCAGCTCTTCTGTGGAAGGATGCCAACGTCAGTCATTCCCTAGAACTGATAGTTTATTTTCACCATGAAGGCTATAATTTCTCTCTTTATCCTGCTTTCCGAAAAAGAGCCAGTGGCATATTCTTACCACCACTGATCGTGCCACTCAGTGATGGGTCATTTCTCGTGGCACTGGGGTTGATGCATGGGATAGCCAGTATTTGCAATAATTAAATTGGACGTTTTTCCAAAATAGTTTTTCTATGTGACCATAAAGAAGACTTTGTATCAAAGGTAAAGAACACAACTTCTGCATGTATGACTAGCCAGATTTTCCAAATCACTCTTAAATGTTCACTGAGAGTAAAGGAGAAAAGGCTTGTGCTAATATCAGTTTATATTTATGGAAATCATACCCTGAGCTACTTATACACATCACCCATGTCTGTACTGATTTGAAGCTGTTTCTGTTTTTGTTCCCCTTATGTTTTTCTTGCCTGATACTTTGCATTTGAAAGTAAAGGAAACTAACTAAATGATCTGAAATATATCTACAAATAGCCAAAAGTGTGTCGGATTACTGACTGTGTCCATTAATCCACAGATAATGGTACTGCTGTCTGGAATAATAGCCTTTATGGTAAACTTGTCCATTTACTGGATCATTGGAAATACATCACCTGTCACGTATCCTTTGTAACGTTAGTTGTTTCTCCTGTTTCCAGATGAATTATGGTAGCATTCATTGGGGCTGATTTACTGTGGGAAAATTGTTTGGTAACCTGCCTGCGTTATCTTAAATGATGAAGCTGGAAAAGCATGTTCGTGTTTTAGTGCATTTCGTTTCTTTGTTCGGGGTTGGTGTAGATAATGGCGGTTAACTTACTGACATGACCTTCATACCTACAAGGAGTATTTACCCAGACTTGGACTGCTTTGAGGAAGTGTTGGCATGTCAGTTAGTCTGCAGCATGCGATGGGTGAAGGGCTTCAGGTGAAGGTTAGTTCTCATAGCTGCAGAGATGCAGGAAGGTTGCAGGAGTTGAAGCCAATGTGACATACCATTGTGCGCACTGGATGTAATTAATGACGTTCCCAAGTGTTTCTGTTTACAAATAACGATACCGATGTTTGCTGTTATCCTTAACAGATACCTAGGTATAACATGTTTGGACATTTCAAGTTCTGCATCACCCTCCTGGGAGGGTGCCTCTTATTTAAGGATCCCCTGTCTGTTAATCAAGGCCTTGGGATTCTGTGCACATTGTTGGGCATTTTAGCTTACACCCACTTCAAGCTTAGCGAGCAGGAAAGCAGTAAAAGTAAATTGGTTCAGCGTCCATAAAGCAAGGGTTTCTGGAGATTAATAATATCATGAAGCAAGACAAGTATTTAAATATGCATTGATTCTAGAATGCACAAAATTGCCTCGGTCATTTAGATCTGTGGTTTTAGTTTAACCTCCAGTATCGTTATTCTGTAACTAAACTGAATAAACTGAATTATGTAAAATGCTGGGATTTTGCCATCTCAGTCCATCCTATCATTTTTGTTAAATTTAAACAGTAACTTAAAAGAGAAAAAGGCACACTGCAAATTGCTGTGGAAATTGTACTGAAGTAATTATATTTTTTGCATACCAAATGAGATCATGATGGCTATAGTTATAATGCAGAGTGAAAGAAAAGGAAGCTTGTCTTTGTGATCATGCCAGTGTTACTGTTGTGAAGAAACCTGGAGGCACTTTTATGCAGGTGTTATGGTATGTAATGATCCTTTTTCTCTGGTCAACGACAAAGAGGAAAAACATACTTTGTTCAGTGGTTTGAATAAGGGCTGCCACGCTCAGTCCTATTTCTCGTATGCTTTCCTGTGTATGTTTTGCTTCAACACATTGATAAGTTTTGGCTGAAGAAAGCAGATAAAATTACAAGTGGAGAGAGACTAGAAGACACTGGAAAACTTGAAGCCACAGGCCAAGCTGTAGAAAAGTAGGAAATCGGATCTAAACAGTTAATCTTAATTTTTTCTTTTGGTACATCAGGACATTAGTGAAGTAATTCATGTTTTAGAAAATTCTGTTACTGCTTTGTAATGTTCTCTATGCCAAAACCAAGGCTTTACATGAGATATCATAAGTGCTTGTGAGCCTAATAAAATCTCTGATCTTGTGGTAGTAGCCAAATATTTTTCAGCCCATGCACACAGACCCCCATAGTAAAAAGATTCTTGGAGAAATCTTCGAAAGGGTCACCATCTGTAATGGATGTGAAGGCTGCCCAGTTCTCACTCCTGCCTTCAGCCCCACCTCCCTCGCGCCCGCGCCTTTCCCCGAGAGCTGAGTCACGTTCAGTGGGATCTGCAGATTTGTCCCCTGTTGTTTCAGAGGGAAGGCCCAGGGGCTGTCTGGGCAGGGCTGGGTCGGCAGCCGTTCCTCAACAGACAGTCTCTGGAAACTTGTCAAAGCGACTGAAGAGTGTGAGGTGGGACCTGCTTCTGCTCTAATTCAGGAACGCTTTAAAAAATATTTTATGCCAGTATCAAGCACTGATTTTGACAATGTGGAAGGAAGGAGAAGTCGAGTACTGTTCTATTTTAAAAAAATAACTGCTTTCAGTGAATCTGGTGAGAACATATGTTTGCTAGATTTGCAGGGTTAGAATTTATCTGCAGTATCTTCATCCTTACATTTTGCGGTTTGTTTTATCTTAATCTACCTCTAGCAGATTTAAAGAGGGGAATTACGTGAACAAAACCAGGTACCTAAGTTTTACAACCACCGACAGAAATGATGCTTAGTTCCTCTAAGCTTTTTTTTACAATAGAGGTAACAAGACTTTGTTTAAGAAACAGTGCAGATCTTCTCAAGCTTGTAAATTTTTTATTCTGTTACAGAGTTCTTGATTTAAGAAAAAGTTATTTCTCTGTGTAACCTAAGTTTACACCATAATACTCTATATAATTTCAGACTTAGGAATATATGGTAAATAATTTTACATCTTTACCAGCTGTGTCTTAGACATTGTACTGGTCCGAGGATAATTTTTTGTATACATTTTTATAAATCTATAATTAGTTTAAAAATACAGCCTGGACTACTGGATGCATATCTTTCAGTACATACACTAAGAAAGCCATTTGCATTAATTTGTGCTGTGCACAAGTTCTTCTAGAATGTAGATAGACCGCAAAGACTCTTACAGTTAGAAAACAACTCAATTTGAAGTGTGTATTACAACAATATTTGGAATGAGGCTGATGTAAATATAAAGTGGTAGAATGAACAAAACAACCATGTCTGAAAATACAGAAGACTCCGTAAGGAGAGGAGCAGATCTGCAAGAGAAAGTTAACGGTATGATGTGAAACAGTGCGTTATAAATACAGTCTGTTGCTGGAATGTGTAAGTCGTGGAGGTCACTTGGGTGACATGTTTTTTTCGTATGTTCAAGAGCTCTTCTTTGAGACTTACCTGTTGTATCTAACAAATAAAGTATCTTGAACTTTGTCATATGGTTCAAAATATTAAATCCAGGAGGCTTGTGTAATTGTGGGATAACTAGATCTTTGTATGTATTGTTTCTTTGAGTACCATGTGTAGGGTGGGAATAAATTTTTAAGCACTTGACTGGTATCTGGTTATTGCAGGGGAGAACAGTTGTTCTTGCATCTTCTGCTTGAATCGTGTACGCTTTGGGGGCTTGGGTGTGTGTAAGACAAAATGATGCCACTTGGATTTCTGCCCATATAAATATTTTAAGTGGTTTGCATGCTTTGGGGCCGAACTCTTGACACAAATGAGGGAGGCTGCATGCCTCCCCTCCCCTGGGCAAATACAGGGGGACCCACACGTGTGTATGAGCACGCTTGCCCACTGACAAGCTGCTTGTGGGCTTTCCTTCACCGTTGCTTTCCCCAGCGTTAAGTCCTTGCAGATGCTCCAGTCTCTGCACAGTCTCCATTTCCTTGTATGCCCTGCACAAAGGTCCCCAGTGCCAAGGTTCTGTGGTCTCGCTGTTCCCCTGAGCTAAGGCTGTGCGTGCTTCGCTTGCGCTCAGACCTCTTCCGCACCCCTTAGCAGAGCAGTCAGGATGCTCTCCCAGTGGTACTGGGGAGGAGGGCGGGAGCAAAACGGAGTTAGCCATCAGGATGCAAGAGTGGGGTAACTGGCACCAGCCAACTCCTTCCTTCACAGGCAAGTGTATGTCGAGTAATATGTTAGGGGGACTGAATCTTTCTTCAGGAGGTTGTAAAACAACAAAGAGAAGGAAGGGGTAAGAGAGACTTTCGGTTGGGATGGTTTTACTGCAAGCACTGTGATAGCTTGGCTGGCCAAATTTTTAATCCTTGAGGTAAAAGTGGAGTCGTATAAAAATTGCTGATACTTACCTGGTGGGAAACTTGCTTATTCTAGTTTTTACTACATCACTTTAATATGTTTTCTTGCTAATTGTATGTATTTCAATTAGTTTTGGCTTTCTTGAAAGAGAAATCGGAGGCTTGGCTTCTTGAACAATATGTAGTCATCAGCCTGTATGTGCCGTTGCAATTGGAGCCGTACTGTGCAAACCCCGGTGTTCACTTTCCGCTTTTGTTTTTCCGTCATATTCTACACACGACTAAACCATGGGAGTAAGAAGGACCTTGGTCCTTTTCTGCCATCAGGTGCTTTGCTGCTTATATTAGCATTCCTTACTTTATAAAGCTTCCATTACTGTAGTTCCAGTGGAAAAGCTAGCGTAGATACCAGGGTGGCATTTAAAAATTAGAGCAGATCCAGATGATTCTGATTAAAATATGAGTGCTGGTGATAAGTTACCTTTGCTAGCCTTGTCCCTGAAAACACTTTAGAACATAGCCAAGGTTTTCTCATCTTCCTCCAAGGAACAGGAAGTATGCCTTCACTTACAACTACCCTGCTCAAAGCTTTGTGTTAGCTTTAACTTTGGTAACTCAGCTCTTGTTTGGCAGATTTTGCATCTGATTTTGTACAACTTGCGAAGTTCTTGCAGGCTGTGTGCCAGAGGAGTTTTCCTGCGGGTGGGTGAACAGCTGCTCTCAGGCTGAAGAAGAGCGG